ATCACATTAAGTCTTTGGCAAAAGTTAGACTAATGTGGAAAGATGTCTAAAGTGTGCATTAAATGTGAGTGTAGCTAAGTATGATTTAAATGTACTGACGAATACCCCGATCCTCTGTCAAAATATATATACATATATTTTATGTCCATTTTAAAAGGTTAGTACATTGTGCTTCTTGGTTCTTTTTTTATTTTCTTTCAAACTTTTTCATGGTTCATATATTTAATAAAAATAATTAACAAATGTCACATAATTATGATGTCATGTGTCAATTGAGTGTAGAAAACCTTCTATCTAAGTTAATACTTTAGAGCTTGGATGAATATGCATACATGTTTATATCTAAACTATTTGGGGACCTAAACTTCTAGAAATCTCATTGTTCTACCCTAACTAAATGTTGTGTACATGTTAAATTCAGCCCCTATGAGAAAAGGAAGACATAAAAGTAGAGAACATATTTTTCATGTCATAATTGCCCTTCTTGTTTCTTACTTGTTAATTCATTAGAATTTTTTTAGGAGTAATAAGATGTTAGAAATCCAAGGAAAAAATATGCAAGGGATGCAAGTGTAATGCAACAAAATACAACAACATCAACTATCAACTATCAAGCACGTTATAATTGCAATAGCAAAGGTTACTTACGTGGCTGGAACTGTATAGACTTGCGGATTGAACAAATTGAACATTGATGAATACATTTGAAAAGTACAAAATTAAGAATTGGAGAGCATAAGTATGACCTTTTCAAGTTTAAGAGGGATGTCAATAGGCTTGTCAACGGGTCGGGTTCAGGCCAGATTTAAAAATTTTGGACCTGAACAAGTTGGGATGGCAACGGGTGCGGGTGCCCGCGGGGATCTATTGGGGTGAGGGGTGGGGCGGGGGCGGGGGGGGGAATTTTTCCTCCCGTTTAGAAACGGGGCGGTAGAAACGGTCCGGGGGTATACTCCCCCGCCCCACCCCCTGCCCTGTCACCCATTTGAAAAAAAAAAGATATATATATGTGCATAATTATATATATAATGATATTATTAATTATACTACTAATTATACATGTCTATTAATAAAAATTATTAATTACTTATACTAAATTTATTAATACATTTATATTAAATTTCTAACTACACTTAATACAATAACACTTTTTTCTAAAAAAATACAATAATAATTTAGTGGTTGTATTTGTATCAAAAGTAAAAACTTGATTATTTTAGTTATATTTGTTTTATCATATTAAATTGTATTCAAATAACTTTTGTTTAATTATTTTTATGAGTTTCAATTGTGAAGTTACAATGAATAATAATTTGGTGATATGTTGATATTTTAGTATTTGATTATTTGCTCAAATTTAATTATAATGAAATTATATAATAAATTTTTTTTAACTCCACGGGTGCCTCCGCGGGGGAAACGGGGTGGGGCAGGGCAAGCGGGGGGCGGGGGACGGGGCGGGAGGGGGGAATTAATAGGCAACGGGGCGGGGGGTGGGGGAGGGGTCCCATTGCCACCCCTATGAACAAGTTATAATGTACTAGTTCCGGACCCGACCCGCCTATTTGATGGATTTTGTGTTGAGGCTCCCGGAACTGGGGTTCGACAAGTCTTGGGTCGGGTTCAGATTTATTCGAAAAAAATAAGGTCCAACAAAAATAAGGTTCAGGAAAGATGTGTGGGTGGACCAAGAGAGAAGAGAGAGAGATGTGCGGTTGGGTGGATTGTAAGATTTGGATTTGTTAAATTGGTAAAAGAATTATTAATGTATTTAAAAATATTTATATTTTATAATTATTAATGTATTATCTAGATTTGGATCGGAATCCTATATTTCGTATCAGACCCGCTTTTTTTGTTAGAGTAAACGGGTACAGTTTGGATCCAAATAACAGAATTATTTCTCAATCTGTACTCGAAAAAAACTATCATGTCCGGACCAGGTTGGAGTCCAAATCTGGACTGTTGACAACCATAGATGTCAACATCTTTCAACCTTGGAGTGAAATGTTGTGGCTTTATTTGTAAGGCCACAATCGAAATGTTTTGGGCCAAAACAAAGTAAAAGGGAAGGTAAGCTCTACTCCTGCTACAGCAATTTGTAGATTCTACCAAGATATGACGCCAAAGAAATTAATGAGGTGAATCCAGCCAATGTGATAAGTTGATTGGCATTAACAATTTTCAACTTCAAACATACAGCCTCCTAAAATGGTGCCAACATTTCTAAAACTTTTTGTTAAAGATTAGGGACAACTTTTTGCTGGAAAAAAAAAAAGAAAAGAAAGAGGAAAACAAACATGACAAATTTTTCAGTGAGAAAAACTTTCCCGAAGCAAGCCTAAAGCACTAAGGATACAAGTGTCAATTTGTGTGTTGCAATGTTGACTTTGGATGACAAGAGAGGATAATAGTATTTTAAGAAGGGTACCAATTAATATTATTAGAAAACTTTGGGAAGTTTCTATAACTATCCCAATTCTGTATTTTTTTTTTTGTCGAAACGATAAGATGATTTTATTGCTTTAAAGGTAAAAAATTACAAATACGAGCAACGGCTCGATCGAACTGTACACACTAGTGTTCAAAGACACTGAGGAAGCTGTCGCTCCTCATCCACAATAATGCTTAAAGCATCAACACTCATTTTTTTACTGACTATCATTTCTTCTTCCCTATTCAATCCAAAAGAGCACATGCGAAACAATCTCTGTAACTGAGAGATGTCTTCAAGTACTGTTGCCATTCTGCTGTCCGCTGGACTCTGGTGTTTTAATTGTCTCCACAGTTCTTTGTTACCAACTCTCAGCTTAATATTGCTCCACTTACGATGCACTGCTTTACACAACACAAGTTTCAGCGCCTGAGCTTCATCTAGGAGTTTGTTTCCAGAGCTGATGTCTTTCATTACCCACCCTATCATCGTATTGCTTGCAAAAACCTTAACTGTGACTCCAATTCCCATGAATAGCTGCCCTTGTTTCATGGTTGTAGACACCTCCATTAGCACTTCTCCTTCCTTTACATAACTCTGATCCTGAGTTTCTTGCCTAAAGGCTGTTTCTTCTGTGCTCTCTCCTTGCCCCTTGTACTCTAGCTGCAGCTGCTCTAGCCACTCAGAATGTGCTTTCCTTATAGATTTGAAGGGAGGATCAACGATAGTGTTCTCAAATTCTCTTTTGTTTCTTTCTTTCCATACCTGCCACAGGATGTTCGCAGTTAAACCAATGTGTTCCATCCCTTCTGTCCTGTGCCTTGCTTCTGAGATTCTTAGCCACCACCTTTTGAAATCTCCCTGCTGCTCCTTTGCTCCATCCCACTGAATGGGAGAAGCCTTCCATATGTTTTCTGTGTGGGGGCAAGTCAGCAGAAGATGTTCAACTGTTTCCTGTGCTGTTCCACACCTCTTACATATCGGATCCCCCACCCCCGTTCGTCTATACACTGCTGCTTTCACAGGCAGAGCACCTTGAATACATTTCCATATGAAAAACTTGATTTTATGCTTGATGTTTAACCTCCAAAGTGTATTCCACATCTGAGCTAAATGCGAATCACTTACTGTATAGCTAGAGCTAGCTCCTTCCTGCCTGCACCTATCTCTCTTTCTGTGTTGCTTCATCAGAAACTTATATCCAGAATTTACAGTGTACGCCCCTCCCTCCTTTGGTTGCCAGTAGAAGCTATCCTCCCTATCAGCCAGGCTCAGAGGAATAGCTAGAATTTTTTGAGCATCACTTCTATTGAAATATCTGAATATAATATTTCTGTTCCACCTATGCTGACTAATAAGCTCCTCTACCTTTTCCAACTCACAATGATTCCCTCGACTAGTAGTTGGTTTCCCTGTTTCAGAGTCTGGGATCCACTTGTGTCTCCAGATATTTGTACTCCTTCCATTTCCTATCCTTCTAATCATTCCAGCAGTGATTAAACTTCTTGCCCCCATGAGTCCTTGCCAAATCCAGGATGCATTTTTGGAGATGTTGCACTGCAGAATGGATTCCTGTGGAGAATATCTGGATTTCAACACCTTACTAACCAACAGATTTGGTTTAGTAAGTATCCTCCAAACTTGTTTTCCTAACAGCGCTTGATTGAAAGCTTCAATATCCTTAAATCCTATACCTCCTGCACTTTTGGCCATTGCCAATCTTTCCCAAGACAACCAGTGCATTTTATTCTTGCCATTAGCTTCACCCCACCAAAAGTTGGCCATCAAAGCACGGATATCCTTGCACAACCTTCTGGACAGCTTAAAACAAGACATCACGTATGTAGGCATTGCCATTACAACTGCATTCAGTAGCACTTCCTTACCTGCTGGACTCAGAAATTTGTTTTTCCAATTCTGGCATCTGTTTCTAATATTGTCCCTCACAAAGCCAAAGATCTGCTCTTTAGACCTTGAAACTACCATTGGAAGTCCCAGGTATTTGCCTTGTTTAGCCTTTACCATTCCTCCTAAGGTCAGGCAGATTGACCATCAATAATATCACATATAGTGCTAGTAAAGCGAAGGTGGGCTCTGGAAGATTCAAAACTGGCGGCGGCTTAATCGAATTATTGGGATTACGACCCAAAGGAAAGAAAACTGCTAAAACATATTTTTAGGTCAGGCAACATGGATAAGCTTTAGAGCATTTTCAGGTATATATATACACAAATAATCAAGTGATGTCAGGCACCAAAAGATATCTTTCTATATCATTTCAAATTTCCAGAATGGAACTTGAGTTTCTTCCTTTACCTTTGAGCTTCCCTAGTCTGCTTCTTCTCTTCTTGTTCCTATTTATGGTATCGAAGAATTTGACACACATATATCTAACTTGGCTGGAAATCTTCCACCAGTTCCAATAAAAATTCCTCTAATTGGGAACCTGCACAACTTGATTGGTGGAGCTCCACACCATGTTCTCCGAGATTTGGCCATAAAATATGGACGAATCATGCACGTTCAACTTGGTGAAGTTTCTACAGTGGTTGTATCTTCAGCCGAGATGGCGAAAGAGGTTCTAGTAACTCATGATCCAAGCTTTGCAGACAGGCCACCGCGACTAGCCACCACTATCTTGTGCTATGATCTACAAGATCTTGCCTTTACTCCTTACGGCGATCACTGGAGGCAAATGCGTAAAATATGCCTGATGGAGCTTCTTAGCGGCAAGAGAGTCCGATCATTCAGTTTTATTAGAAATGCTGAAATCGCAAAACTGATGGAATCAATTCTCTTTTCTTCAGGGAAAGCGGTAAATATTACACATAAGTTTTTAGTGTATACAAGTTCAATGACCTGCCGAGCAGCTTTTGGGGGATATTGAAGAACAATGAAACGATGATCGAGTTTTTGAAGAAGTCAGTCACCTTAGCAGGTGGCTTTGTTGCTGCTGATTTTTTCCCCTCCTTGAAAATCACAAATTATGGTTAATGTCTGGGCAATGGGGAGAAATCCTATTTATTGGGATGATCCAGAAAGCTTCAAACCAGAGAGATTCGAGCAAAAATCAGTCGAGTACACTGGCTATCAGTTTGAATATATTCCATTTGGGACGGGCAAGAGGATGTGCCCAGCCATAACATTTGGTCTAGTCAATGTTGAGCTTCCCTTAGCTCATTTGCCCTACCTTTTTGGAAGACAATCTTAGTAGTTTCTTAAGGAGACGTTCCAAATCATGTTAATTGACTTACAAATCCCAGGACTCTTTACCATTGATTTTTTTTAAAAAAAAAAAACATATAGTCCTAGGACTCTTAACAGAAAAAAGTTATTCCTTTATTAGTGAAAAGTACCAATATTTTAGCAACACTTGCCAATTTTTAATAAACTTTATTACATTTTGGCAAAACTTCTCATATTCTTAGCAGGTTAATCAGTTTATTAAAAGGTTATTACTTTATTTAAGAACCTACCACAAAAATTTGCAATTGCTGATCCTCAAGTACAAAAAATTCTATGAAATGCATTAGAAATATTAGTTTTTTTTAGTGTAGTCCCTAAATTGCAATGTCAAAACAAATATAACTATTAATAATTGCCTCCCTCGACTGATACTCCTTCAAACAATCAATCTTTAAATTGAAAAAATGTTAGGGACCATTGCAACAATTTGTATTTTCATATTACATTCCGTTGCTTAGCATTCAAACTATTTTGTAGCCAAAATATTTTTTTATTTCTTAGAACCTGACAGCCTATACAGCTTAAGATGTTATGAAGCTACATGCAGGGACATATGTGTACGATACACCAACGACTGAACCAAAAGTAGGAGCTGTCGGACCGGTCATGGTTGAAAAGGACACATTTCCTGTCAAAAGTAGGGAAATTATGTTCTTTAGAACCTACATTAACTAACGCAAAGTTTCATTCAAATAATACCGTATGAAACCACTGGTTACATGAACTATCATAATCGTAACTATTACTTGCAGGTATGCAAGTGGTTGAGGTTTCATGAGAGGAAGATTTATTAACTTAAAAAAGGTAAATAAATGAGTTGTCACGGCTAAAGAGGTTTTAATCTATTGACTAAATTTGAAACCTCAGAAATTGGAGGTCTTGAGTTCAATTCTCCTTTTTTCCTCATCGTTTCTTAAATTCCTTTTTTTCCTTGCTAGAAAGAAAAAAAATTCTAGTTCTATTATTGATTCTTATAGTCCTATAGTAAAGAGCAGACTATTTTAGTTCTTGATTGTTATGCAGTTTTGGCAAGCCGTCATTATTTGAGACCCGGACGACTTGCTCCCTCCACCATATTGAAAAGTCTATTCATGAAGGAAACGTGGTTGTTGGTCAACGGTAGCGTGCTGATTATTAGCCTTATAATGTCCTGAACAATGTCCGCAACAATTAATTCAACACTATTGGACTAGTTTATTATTGAAAGAATATATTCTCAGGTGATTATGAAGTTTTTAGTTTGACTCTCAAACCTTTCCTTTTTCTTATTACTCCTTATTGAGTTTGGAATCTCCTCTTAACCAAAAAAAAATCGATCAAAAATTGGTTAATTATGTTCTTTGGATTCATAGTGTTGTTGGTTAGAATTTTGCACTCATTTTATATGAGTGTTTAATGTTTTAATTGATTTATTTGAACTTTAATGTGGATAGAAATTGTTAATTTAGTCTTATTTTTAGTTCTAACTGAAATCACACGCAAAACTTGAGTTCCAAATGGAAGACCGGCACTGGACTTCAGAAGGGACATTGGGCCGGACATCTTCTGAAGTTTCTTCAAATTTCACATTAGGCAATGATTGGCGCCGGACTTCATGAAGGACACTGTGTAGGACTTCATCGGATTTCTAAGCGGACTCAGGTTTATTCAGTTTTCAAAAACCTAATCCTTATGTATATTAACTTAGAATTTAGGATAATATAAATAGGATATATTAGGACGTTTTTAATTTTTTTTGGGGGGGGGGGGGGGAAGGAGAGAAGGAGAGGGGGAAACATTGTGCAATTCCTTAGCTCGTATCTTTTACATCTATCCCCTGGAGAGTTCAAGATGAAGGTGGACAAGGATGAAAGAGTAATACAGATGAAGATTAGAGACGTTTTACTTGCTCTTTATCTTTATCCTTGTATTTCGTGAATTTTTGGTTTATTCATGACCATAGTGAACTAATTTAAGTCTAGGATTAGGATTTTGTGAAAAAGTATTGGTTAATTATTATAGTTAAATTTTTTATTTTTTCGTTGATTTATCTATTTCATTTTTTAAATCTCATCCTTCCCTTGTAAAAAAAAAAAGAAGAAATTCTAGTTAGCTTAATCATTCTTTCCAGCATTTGAAATTGGTCATTAGTTTTAAACCCGAATAAGTAGTCCCGTACACCATAATGGAACATCTTTATGAAGCAAGCGCTGTTAGTTAATGGAAATTTGCCGATTATGAGTAATAATGTCCATAATAATATGATCCAGATTAACCAATTGGCATAATAACTTGTTGGACAGAGCATGGTTGAAATTTGAAAGGGATACATTTCCAGTCAAAAATAGGTGAATTATGTTCTTTAGATGGATATTATGTCACTATTAGAGCTTATATTAACCAACACAAAGTTTCATCCAAATAATACCATATTAAGTCACTAGTTACGCGAACTGTCATAATCGTAACTAATAGACATGCAACTGGTTCATGAGGGCAACATTTCTTAACTGGAAAATGGTAAAGAAAAGAGTTGTCATGGTGGAGGAGGTTTTAATCTAATGACTGAAATTTGAACTTAAAAAATTAGAGATCATGATTTCAATTCTCCCTTTTTCCCCCTTACTTCTTAAATCTCATCACTTTCTTGCTAAAAAGGGCAAAAAAATCTAGTTCTATTATTGATTCTTATAGCAAAGAGTTGGCTGCTTGAACTCATCATTCTTATCCAGTATTGGCAAGCCGTCATTATTTGGGACCCTGTCAACTTGTTCCATCCAACATATCGGAAAGTCTATTCATGAAGCAAACGTTGTCAGTCAACAGTAATGTGCTGATTATTAGCCTTATAATGTCCTGAATAATGCCCACAAAATTAACTGGCTCAATAATATTTGTTGGACTAGTGCATTATTGGAAGGACATATTTTCAAGTCATTCATCGTGAAGTCTTTAATTTGACTCTAAAATATTTTCTTTCCCCATTACTCATTGTAAAATTTGGAATCTTCTCTGCACTGAAAAAAAAAAGAAGAAATCCAATAAAAAAAATAGGTTAATTACGTTCTTTGGATGCATTGTGTTGTAATATGGCATCATGTATACAATAGTTAATATAGTGATATAAATTTTCAATTTATCTTTCACTATTTATTTATCATCAAGAGTTAATTCGAATTATTAGTAATTGACTATTAAAACAAGTGGTGGGTTGAAAGAACTTATGTCCCATAAAATGTAAAATATTTATGTTCTTGGATACAATATGAGAAGAGCCTACATTAATTAATACAAATCCAAATACTACCCCTTTTTTTTAAAATCCAAATACTACCCTATGAAACTACAACTTGCAACTTTTCTTTTCATCCCTCCCATTTCTCTCCAACACCTTTTGAACCTTAACTGTACACTGAATTTAAATCACAGACCTAATAATGGATAGGACACTAAGAGGCCTCCTCTGGAAAATGGAAGGACCCAGTGATTAAACTACAAGTTACATGAAATATTAGTAGTCATGGAACAAATTGGACTTCGCCTGGACATGGTTTCTTGACCATCCGGAAAGAAAAGGTCTCCAATCATTGTTGATGTTAAAAAAAAAAAAATCATACAAATAATCCTCCACGCATTGGATTTGTACCTATTAGGTCCCTCATATATAAAATAATATTTTTTCATCTCATACAAATGAAAATGACACATTTTTAATCCCTCAACTCATTTCTGCTCATATATTTGTTAGAAAAAAAAATTACGGGCATCTTATGCCCCACAAACTTTAGAGAAAAAAAAATCAAAAGGATCAAAAGGAAAAAGGGAAAAAGGCACCTCACCATTTCTTCTTCTTCGTCCTATTTAACAAACTAAGAATGTAGATTCCATGGCTGCCTCCCGCCGTAGTGCTAGTGGTGGCAGCATCGGCCACCAACACTTTCAATTATAGAATTTCATCAAAATTCAATTCCTTACTCAGTTTTCGCATAGAATCTGATTTTCATTTTAGTTTGTGCAAAAAATAAAGAAAAGTATTTGAAAAATAGAAAAAATTGGGGAGCATAGAATTTGTAAGGGATGTTTTAAAAGCCAATAGTATTAGCTGTATGATTTTGAAAGGTTCCTCAAATATTTAGAATCAGTGATAGGTAGAGTTTTGAGAGGCATTTTTCAAAATATTTTTTCAACATATTTTTTTCAATCATTTCTTTGCCTCACATATGTTAAATCTTAAAAAAGTACAACAGCTTCCCAAAAGTACAATTTCAATAGGCTCTTATGTGCCAGACATTATCGCTATGCTTGACTCTTAAAACACGGCAAAAACAAAACTTTTGAATGCGACTAAATCAATGAGTATGGCATTGGGATCTCAAAGAAAATTGTTGCGGGACCCAAAGTGTGAGTATAAATTTAAGATTACTCTTTATATAGTTTAGATTCAACTTCCAACCTACAACTGATAAGATACAACTTGATATATTTCTCACATACTTTACCCACCAGTGTTTTTTCTATTCTCACCCACTTTTATTATTTTTTTTTTGTAAAAACTAATATCCAAAATCGGATTCTACATAAAAAAATTGAGTGGAAAGTTGAATTTTGGTGAAATTTTGTGAATGAAAGTAATGGCGGCCGAAAGTGGCACCACTGGCACAGCGATCGGAGTATAAATTATAGGTTGAACACTTCAGTTTAAAGAGAATTTGCAATCAATGCCGACTATAAACAATTGCTAGTGTCTACAGTTAACATTTGGAGTCTACACATGCTGTTTTAATATATCTACAGTGTCTCTTGCAGTTGGTGAAGTCCTGGATCAAGCCGGTACATCCCCTTCTGAAGTTCTGTGTATTTGTACCTGACGGTTAAGCCAAAAAAAAAAAAAAGAAAAAAATCGAGTTGCTAAGTGAAAGACATATCCATTTTTTGCACTGTACAAACGTGACATCACAAAATCTTAGCCAGAATATAACAAAAAAGATGCTCGTCACCAATAAAAGATTGAAAGATTTCAACTACTCAAATCTGTTAGGTTCATGAGTAAAGTTTTATGTCCCATATTGGTCCGATAGATGGAGAAAGAGCGGTTAATATGTAAATAAAAACCCAAGACCTAGTAGCTTAAACTTTTAGGTCAGAGTTGGGTTTTTGATTTATATATTGGACTCTTTGGTGGACTCTCTCGAGATGTGTTTCCCTATCAAAAATTGCTGTCTTGAGCTATTACTTATATATTAACCACTCTTTCTCCATTTCTCGAACCAATGTGAGACATAACTGTTAAGTGGCTAATTGTGCATATAATTGGTGAATATTTTCCCCTTTATTTTGTTAAAATATGGCGTAAATCGATATATTTCACTCATATTTGAATTTTGGTGTTGTTTTTAGGAATTGTTGGTGAGAATGAAGTAAAAGGCGCATTAAAAGTCGACTTTCCAGAAGATGTCTTGTTAAGCGTGCCCACGCTTTGTCAAACGCGAAGTGGTACTTCTAAAGATCTATGTCCAGTAGACTCCAGTCTGTTAAGCGTGCCCACGCCTTATTTGACAAGGCAATCAAGAGTTCGTAGGACATGAGATCAATCTGTCAATTGATCAAGAAGCCGGTTGAATCCCATGGTTTTACACATTTGTCACGGGATTGGAGATCTTGAGGGGCTATGACTCAATGTAATTTATTTGGAAACCAATTGATAGGTCTTGGTTGGTTAGTTTAGCTTAAGTAGGAGTCCTTGTAGGAAAAGGGGATCTCATCCTTATTAATAGGGGAGAAAACAGACATGGGCTCTATCTCTGATTCTTTTTCCTTTTTCCCTCTTCGAAAACAAAAAAAATAAGAAAACCATTACTTAGTCTTGGTCGCGAATCCATCATGAGGAGCGGCTAATTTCTTTTCTAGTTGAAGGTTAATTGAAGCTTTGGTTCGACTATACTGTGAGATCTAATTTGATTTGTTTGCTTCATTTATTTATGAGTATTTATATATTCTCTGTTCATTCATGATTATGACTATTTTCAATAGTTAGATATCTGATCAATATTTAATTAGCGAAATAGTCTATTGCCATCTAAAATATCAAATCCATAATTATTTGATGGTTTTAGTATTTGTGGCGAGTGATATAATTTGATTGTAAAAGAGGCTTTCGAATTTATGTCACGGGAATATATAATCGAACTTAAATGAACCGAACTTGTGTGTTTGTTGGTTAGAATTGGTAGCTTCTCTATTTATTAATGCTGTTAATAGGTTAAATCCTAAGAGCTTGTTTAGGATTGCTTAATTGGCAAGAAAAATAGTCACAGAGCGTGTTGTGGTTATCGAAACAGTAAGGAGAGACAGGTTGTCAGAGCTTGTTGACAACCATAACCAGTTTATTTATGAATAAGTGATTTCACCTTTGCATCGATGATCAATTAAATGAACCAAAGTGGAAATTAGACCTTCGACTAGAGTATTGCCTATTCTTGGTTTACTTTTATTTAATTTTGTGATACTATCTTTATTTTTATTCAAGTGAGTTATTTAGTTAATTTCTCCTAATCTCCCATTTTTCACAAAGAAATAAATCACCCAGTCCCTGTGGATACGACCCTACTCACCGCCACACTCAAATCCATGTTATTAGAGTAGGAACTTTTATTTTTGCTGGTTTGACAAGCCAACAAATTTTGGCGCCATTGCCTGGGATTGGTGCCTTATTGATTTATTTTCTTTGATTTTTATTTTTATTTTTTTTATTCGGTTGCTAGTTTATGCCTCGATCTTCTCGTATAGGTGAGTTGCAATACGATCCTGAGATTGAGAAGACAGAACGTATACTGAAAAAGAAAACTAAACAACAAGTAAGGTCATCTAACTTGGTTGAACCTTCTAGTGAATTTGAAGAGGAGATTGAAACCATGGTGGACGAGAGAACCTTGAGAGAGCTAGCTACACCAGATTTAAATCAGCAACTTCTTTGCATAACATATCCTGTTTTAGAAGTACCATTCGAATTGAAATCTGGATTAATTCACTTACTTCCTTCTTTTCGTGGACTTGCAGGTAAAGATCCTCACAAACACCTCAAGGAATTTCATGTGGCATGCTCAACCATGAAGCCCCAAGGAGTCACAGAGGAGCAAATAAAATTAAGAGCATTTCCATTTTCTTTAGCCGACAAAGCTAAGGATTGGCTCTATTATTTGCCCTCTGGATCAATTACCACGTGGACTGATATGAAGCAGCAATTTCTTGAGAAATTTTTTCCTGCTTCCCGAGCTGCAAGCATTAGGAAAGATATCTGTGGGATTAGACAATTTAATGGAGAGACATTGCACGAGTATTGGGAAAGGTTCAAACAGTTATATGCAAGATGTCCTCACTATCAAATCCCTGATCAACTTCTCATTCAACATTTTTACGAGGGATTATCAGCAACAAACAGGAAAATCATTGATGCAGCCATTCGAGGAGCATTGGTAAATAAAACGCCAACAGAAGCGAGAAGGATAATTTCAAATATGGCAGCCAATGGTCAACAATTTGGTCAGCGACAGGATTATGCTTCTAGAAAAGTCAGTGAGGTGAGTATTTCCTCTATTGAACAGCGATTAGATTCTCTAACCTCTTTAGTGGAAAAGTTAGTTGTAGGACAGGTTCAGCAAGCCAAAACATGTGGAATTTGCTATGCTTCTAGCCATCAGACTGATATGTGTCCCACACTACAAGATGATCCAAATGAATATGTGAATGCAGTTTGCGGATTTCCTGGCCTACCTCAAAGGCGCTATGATCCTTATTCAAACACCTACGATCTATGGTGGAAGGATCACCCAAATTTCAGTTATGCCCTAAGGCCACGGGGATTTCACCAACAACAATATTAGCCTAGGCTTGCAAATTCACAACAGCAACCGGTTTCAAAATTAGGTACATCACTTGAAGAAATTGTTAAATCGTTAGCTACTAATGCACAACAATTTCAACAGGAGACGAGAGCTAGTATTCAAAATCTGGAGAATCAAGTGAGCCAACTAGTATCTGCATTTAATCGATGGGAGTCTCAAGGTTCAGGAAATTTGCCTCACAAACTATTATCAATCCAAAACAAAAGGCAAGTGCCATTACATTGAGGAATGACAAAGAGTTGCTAGAACCCAGTAAGAGAATTTCTGAGCAGGCCATTGAGGAGGCTATTGAGAAAGAAGAAGTGGAACCCAAACCTAAAGATAGGCCACAACAAAATTCCCAAGATGACCCGCCAGTAGTGGTAATACCTCCTCTTCCATTTTTTAGTCGATTTGCTAAATCAAAGAAAGAGGAGCAGGAGCAAGAGATTCTAGAAACTTTTCGCAAGGTTGAGGTAAATATTCCCCTTTTAGATGCAATTAAGCAAATCCCTAGATATGCAAAGTTTCTTAAAGAATTATGCACTACTAAGAAAAAATTGAAGGGAAATGAAAAAGTTCATCTGGGGGAGAATATCTCAGTAGTGCTTCAGAGAAAGTTACCTCCAAAATGTAAGGACCCAGGTATGTTTACTGTTCCTTGCAACATTGGAAATATTAGGATTGAGAAAGCAATGTTGGATTTGGGTGCTTCCATAAATGTTATGCCTTGTTCTATTTATAACATGCTGAATCTCGGGCCTTTAAAAGAGACAGGTATAATAATTCAACTTATTGATAGGTCAAATGCTTATCCTGATGGGGTTTTGGAAGACATATTGGTTCAAGTAGACAAATTGGTTTTTCCTGCAGACTTTTATGTGCTTGACATGGAGGAAGATAATTCTGCTAATTCACCCCCAATTTTATTAGGAAGACCATTTTTGAGAACTTCTAGGACCAAAATTGATGTCTATTCTGGAACACTGACTATGGAGTTTGATGGCGATATTATAAAATTTAATATTTATGACGCCGTGAAATATCCTAATGAATCTCATTCAGTCTTTGTTATAGATGTAATTAACTCTTTGATGTAGCACACTTTTGAACTAACGGATGATGATGCTTTGAAAGTTGCTCTTACTCGTGGCCTTGATCGGGAGTATATTCAAGAGATGAGAGGGAAGTTTGACATTTCACTTGAATTGCAAAAAACTATTTTTGAATTAGATTCTCTTAAACCTGTAAGGTATGAAGTGCCTTGTGTTGAATTGTCATAGTCACATTCAAAACTTTTACCATCTATTGTACAAGCCCTGAAGTTAGAATTGAAGCAATTACCTAATCATCTAAAATACGCATTCCTCGGGGAAGGAGACACACTTCCAGTGATTATTTCTTGCAAGTTAACCGCTCCAAAAGAAGAAAAACTCATTTGGGTGCTAAAAGATCACAAGGAGGCAATAGAATGGACTTTAGCGGATATCAAAAGACTAAGTCCAGCCACTTGCATGCATAGAATCTTATTGGAAGAAGACGCTAAACGTTCAAGATAGGCCCAACGTAACCTAAACCCACCAATGATGGAGGTAGTAAAGAAAGAAGTTTTAAAACTTCTTGATGCAGGTATAATTTATCCAATTTCGGATAGTAGGTGGGTAAGTCCTATACTAGTGGTCCCCAAAAAGACGGGAATAACTGTTGTTGAAAATCCAAATGGCGAGTTGATGCCCATCCGGGTTCAAAACGGATGGCGAGTTTGCACAGATTTCAGAAAATTGAATGCCTTAACTCGAAAGGACCATTTTCCACGACCCTTTATTGATCAAATGCTGGAAAGATTGGCAGGAAAATCTCACTATTGTTGCCTTGATGGTTTTTCAGGTTTTCTTCAAATTCCGGTAGCACCTGAGGACCAAGTGAAAACTACTTTCACTTGTCCATTTGGTACATTTGCATATCGACAAATGCCCTTCGGTCTTTGCAATGCCCCCGCTACATTTTAGAGGTGTATGGTTAGTATATTTTCTGACTTTGTAGAAAACATTATAGAAGTGTTCATGGATGATTTTACAGTCTATGGTGATTCTTTTGATGCATGTCTCGCTAACCTCACTAAGATACTTGAACGGTGCATCGAGACAAATCTTGTTTTAAACTATGAGAAATGTCATTTTATGGTAGATCAACGCATAATTTTGGGACATGTGGTGTCCTCTAAAGGAATTGAAGCAGATAAAGCTAAGGTAGAAGTCATTAAGTGCTTACATTACCCTGCAAGTGCGAGGGAAGTTCGTTCTTTTCTTGATCATGCAGGTTTCTACCGACGCTTATTAGGGATTTTTTTTAAAATATCTCATCCTCTGTGCCAAATACTTCAAAAGGATGTAGAGTTTAATTTTGATGAATCCTGTAAAGTTGCTTTTGATGCACTCAAGGAATCACTGACCTCAGCACCAGTTGTCCAGCCGCCAAATTGGAGTTTACCTTTCGAAATCATGTGTGATGCAAGTAATTATACTGTTGGTACTGTACTTGGCCAAAAAAATGGGAGAGCGTCTCACGTCATTTATTATGCTTCAAGAACTTTGGACAGTACTCAGTGCAATTATTCAACAACGGAAAAAGAACTTTTAGCTATAGTTTTTGCTTTAGAAAAATTCTGTTCATACTTACTTGGCACTAAAGTAATTGTCTATTCTGATCATGCAGCGCTTAAGTACTTGCTCACCAAGAAGGAGGCGAAGCCAAGACTTTTGCGGTGGATTCTTCTACTCCAAGAATTTGATTTAGAAATTCAGGACAAAAAAGGTGCTGAGAATGTGGTTGCAGATCACCTCAGTCGATTGGTCATAAATGGGACACCTACACCTTTAAGAGATAATTTTCCAGATGAACATCTCCTTGCCATTCCTAAGCTAACTCCATGGTACGCAGATATAGTGAATTATTTGGTCACTAAGACGTTGCCTAATGATTTATCTAGGGCTCAGAAGGATAAAATAAAAAATGATACTAAATATTATGTATGGGATGAACCATACTTGTGGAAATTTTGCTCTGACCAAGTTATTCACAAGTGTGTTTTAGATGAGGAAATCCCTTCTGTTCTCTCTTTTTGTCACTTATATGCTTGCGGTGGACATTTTGGTCCCAAGAGGATTGCCCGTAAAGTTTTAGAATGTGGTTTGTTTTGGCCTACTTTGTTTCGTGATTCTTACACGTTTTGTAAGACTTGTGAGAGTTGTCAAAAGACAGGTAATTTAGGATATAGAGACCAAATGTCCCTTACTCCGATACTTGTTTGCGAAATATTCGACACATGGGGTATCGATTTTGTGGGTCTATTTCCCTCCTCTTTTGGCCATGTGTATATTCTTCTTGCTATAGATTACGTTTCCAAATGGGTCGAAGCTAAGTCTACTCGGATTGATAATGCTAAGGTTGTGGTAGATTTTGTCAAATCTAACATTTTTGTCAGGTTTGGTACACCAAGAGCAATTATTAGTGATCGTGGGAACCACTTTTGTAATCGCGTAGTGGAGCCATTGATGAAGAAATATGGTGTCACCCATTGTGTTTCTACTTCATATCATCCGTAAACCAGTGGGCAGGCTGAGATTTCCAATAAAGAAATCAAATCTATACTTGAAAAGACGGTGAATCCAAATAGGAAGGATTGGAGTCTGCGCCTCAATGATGCACTTTAGGCTTATCGAACAGCTTACAAGACTCCCATAGGTATATCCCCTTATCGTCTGATATTTGGCAAATCCTGTCATCTTCCGGTTGAGATGGAACATAGGGCGTATTGGGCGATGAAACAATGAAACATGCGGATGGATGATGCGAGAGAGCAAAGGAAATTGCAGTTACAAGAATTAGAGGAAATCCGCAATGACGCCTATGAGAACTCACGAATTTACAAGGAGAAGACAAAGACTTTTCATGATCAATTGATCTCTAGGAAGAATTTTTGTGTTGGTCAAAAAGTTCTAGGGAGTGTTTGGATACCAAAATTATTTCAAATAATATTTCGCTTGCATCACAAACATATTTCCCAACCTACCTTTTTATATTCCCAATCACCTTTTTATCTCACATACATCATATCACAAAAAATACTACAGTAATTATTTCAAATAATATTTCAAATAATACACTATCCAAACACACTCCTACTTTTTCATTCTAGACTCAAACTTTTTCCTGGTAAATTACGTTCACGTTGGATAGGGCCTTTTATTGTCACTAATGTTTTTCCTCATGGTGCAGTGGAAATTCTAAATCCAAAAACCAACAAGGTTTTCAAGGTCAATGGTCATTGTCTTAAACCTTTTTATGAAGGATTTCAGGCATATACTATCGAGAAGTTGGCTCTCGAAGAGCCTACTTATTCTGATTGAAATATTATTTTGTCTAGCCAAAGATATTAAAGAAAGGCACTATTTGGAAGGCAATCCAAGAGTTTCAATTTTTAGTCATTTTGTGTTTTTTTATTTCATATTTTTGTGTTAAAGGTAAGTTTATTTTGGTTCCTATTGACAGAAACTTTTTATTGTAGGTAGACTCTTAGGCAGACGACTCTCGATTATAAGAAGTGCCCACGCTTTATGCTAAATGCAAACCATTGATTTTCAAGTTGCATGGGCAGAAGACTATCTGTTGAGCGTGCCCACGCTCTATGTCCGGAGTGCACTGTTGATTTTCAAGTTGGATGGGCAGAAGAGCTTTCGTTATAAAGCGTGACCATGCTTTGTAGCATAGTCTTGAGTTTGATTTAATTGATTAAAAAAAATAGAAAAAAAAAACATCATTCCCAATTCGGTTTGGGTCTGTCTCTCTTATTAGCAAGGGCTTCTATCTTTCCTCTTCCATTTGTTTCAATCACCCTAACTTGTTTCTTCCTCTTTCCTTTTCTCACAGTCTTGACCGAACCTCCAAGTGCCATCTTCTACCTTTGGTCGTTGCTGCTCCATCATCGGCGAACGCACCTTCGTGGGATTGCTTGCCTGGAGTTCTACCGAGTTTCAACAAGAAACGGGTATTATCTAGGCTGCTACCCTCTTCATTCATCAATTTCTGGTAGTTCAATTTCGTCAATTCAGATTCCTTGCTGCCGATTTCTGTTTTCCCCTAGTTAATTGCTTTAACAACTACACTTGATTTCTTGGATTTATGGACATTGGGTAGATATTTGGTTCTTGGTCATTGGTTGATTGTGCTTATCAAAGTAGTAGTCGGTGGTCAATTGCACAATTGCCATTGTTATAGTCTTTCAATTTTACAACAATAGCTTGTGGGTCCCTCTATTGTTGGTTTTAGGAAGCTTGATTAATCTTCCATCCATCCACATAGCTTTCCAATTGCATGATTGTCTCCTATTGTTTTTAAAGCCAATTGATAGTGGTTTGTTCGACTTGAGTTTGGCTTCTACTGGGGATCCCACTTGGCCTCTTTCTTTGCTTGGTTCACTATTACTCTTTAGTTATTAACTTTTGTTGGTGCATTTGAATTGTTGAACTATGGCAAAGAAAAAAACTATTTCAACGAAACCAAGTAAAACTTCTTCTGCACCGCTTAATCCTTCTCCCAAACCTAAGAAACGAAGAGCTCCTATCCAACCGAAGAAAAGGTCACGTTTGGGGATTCACAAAAGTATACTACTACCTAGAGATAACGAATTGGGAGGTGCACTTGATGGATTTAGTTCCGAGCAACTAGAATGGCTTTAAATGTTGCGAGTCAGACCTTTTGCTGCCTGCAAATCCGTGCATCACCCTACACTTGACCACCTGCATATTGCTAGTGACGTGGATCGGTTATTTGCTGCAATTGGTTGGTAACAATATTTGACAATTGATTATCCTTCTTATAGTGAGTTGTCTTGGGAAGTTTATACTACATTCAGCTTTGACAAACCGAGTAACTTAACTTTGAGTACTCCCGATGTGGTAAAGTTTAGGTTGTTGGGTGTTGATATGAGTCTGTCCATCAATGAGTTTAATATACTTTTGGGTTTCATTGATCCGGAGGCTGTCTCATCTCCAGAGTACATGAACAGTGCATGTGATTATGGACAGCCATTTGCTAGGGA